GAAAGAGGACAGCGCGGAACTACGAACGCAGCAGGGTGGCAAGGGACATGTACTCCTCCATACACCTCGCTGGCCCTGTCTTAAAATCAGGATGCTGGCCCTTCGAGAACCTGTCCCAGGAGCATCGCGCCCCGTTGGAGGCGAAGCGAGGCATGCCCTCCTCGCCTAGTTTCCTGAGGTTCCGGACTCAGAGTACGCCCCGCAGGTACTGCATATGAAGACCGCCCCCAATGCATAATTGGACGCAATTGTTCCTGGAGGTTCTTAATGATGTTCACTTTGTCCTGGATCCGCTGGCCCAGGCGAAAGTGGTCGTCGCATAGTGAATCGATCTGGTCGCTTGGCCACGAGAACTGGTCAGTATCGTCGGAGAGGGAAGCCTCCTCCTTGGAGATTTTGGCCCTGAGGTTCTCAACCTGCTGGATCGGGGTCATGCTGAGGAACTCCTTGCGCCTGATGCATTCTAGCTTCCCTTTGGCGGCGAGGAGCTCGGGCTGTGCCTCAGCGGGCCCGCGCTGGACGTGGTCCTCCCAGAACACGACCTCGGCTTGGGCAAGGCCAAAGCGGTTTAAGGCCCCGCCTTCCCCCTTGCGTGGCGGAGTGTCGTCGACCTGCTCCTGCCACGTGTGCGGCGCCTTGCGCTGGGGCTGGTCCCCAGGAGGGCGGCTCGCAGGCCGCTTGGGGGCCGCAGGCGTTGGGGGGCGAGATGGAGCGACGCTCGGCCTCGCCTCCGGTGCCGAGCCCAGCCGGTTCTGGAGGGCCGGGGCCTTGGTAGGGGCGGCCTTCTCAACCGGCTCCTCCTTGACCGCGTGCGTCTGCGTGAAGCCGCGCGCGGGGCTACGGCTGCAGATGAGAGATTAGCCAATGCCTACGTGCCGGCCGGTGCACCCCATGACGGTGCAGAAGCCGCCTGCACGCGGCGGGGCCGTTGGGTAGGCCGCGCCTTTCCCCCCTTTGCCTTTGTCTCCTTTGCCCTTCCCCTTGCCCTTGCCCTTGAGCTGGCCTTGCTTGGCCGCAGCTCCCTTGCCGTGGCCTGCGACGAACATGGCGCGCGGGCGGAGGGGTCAGCAAGCGCGCAAGCGGCCGGCGGACGGAAGGAGTGCTTAACCTTATGGCTGCCTTCGAAGAACAACGGGTGCCCTAACGCTTCCTTCGGGGACCAGCTTGGCCCCGCTCTTAAGTGCCCGACTCCGTAGTCCCCATTTGGCTGGGGCCAGGCGTTCTCTCAGCTTTCAGAGTCGAGTCCGACGTGTCATGACACCTCGAAACCTACCCCTTCAACCCCTTCCTTCCCGCTCCCGGCGTCGCCGGGTTCGACCAGCGCGGGAGGCAAAGAGCTGAGCGTGGGGCACGCCCGCTCCTCGATCGAGCGCGCATGCGGAAAGTACGGCAAGAGAAGACCAGGGGAGAGAAACGAGAGAGGGGATGGATGGACGCGGGGGCGACGTGGTGTGCACCAACTACACGAACAAGCGCGCGTGCGCAGCGATTGCAGGACTGCCGGCTTTGCCGCCGGGCTGTCCTGGAGGTAGACACCTCGTTTGGGGCACCTCTAGACTCCCCCTGTTTCGGATACTCAAGGTGGATCCCCCCATGGATGCCCCATGAATGGGTTCGCCCGCTTGCGCCACGATGCATGCGCTGGCGCGCTTGAAGAAATTAAAAATGAGATATGACTTACTATTGTATGGAATATGATGCACTATCAGAGCGTTGCCTGAAGTGCGCGGGTCCACCGGCTATTCGAACGAACGTGCATGCGCAATCGTCCCTTGGAGGCCCCTTGAGACCACTGGCAACATATGGTTGGGGGCACGAAGACCCCCTCTTCCTGAGCGTCCAGATGGACACTCCAAAGTGACCCAGTGGGTCCATCGGCCTGTCCTCGGCATAGCAGTTATACCCTGGGCCCTCCGAGGGCCCCAAAACACAGTTCACGGCCGTTGAGCGTTCTTTCCAGGGAGGGGGTTCAACAGCACCGGTCCCCAGGGGGGGGGACATTTTGTCAACCCCTGTCCCAGCCGTGGGGCCGCTCGTCGACCTGCGAGAAGAGCAAGAGTAGCGATGGGGGGTAGGACGGGGCGCATGGAAAAACAAAAGCAACGCCATGCTATGCCTGGCCCGCCCAATTGCTACAACCCCCTGGACGCTGAGCAACACAGGCATAAAGCACGAGATGGGCAGGCACACAGGCATAGCCGGATGGTCGAGGAAGCCGGACGGACGGCAGCGGAGGAGAAAGCAGCGGCGGCGCCGGGAGAGCGGGAGCGGAAGAGAGAGAGAGAGAGAGAGAGAGAGAGAGAGAGGGCGAGAGCGAGAGAGCGAGAAAGAGAGCACGAAGCGAGATGGGATGAGAAATGCTGCCGTGGTGTTCCTGCGCGTGGCAGGGGCAGCTCAGGGGATAGCACCAGCTATGCTATTTCAGGGTTCGGGGCTAGAGGCCCATAAGCGGATGGCGGACTGCGTGCCTGGCGCGTCTGGCGCGTGCACGAGGGGTTGGGGAGGCGGTCGTTGCCGCCGCGTGCGCTTCACCGCTCACGCATTTCTATGGGGTAGCCAGGATGGGCTGGAGAACGAGAAAACGAGGAGCGCACGAGGCAAAACAGACGGTGGCGGGATGCAAGAGGGATGGCCGGTGTCGCCCTGGCGCCTAACCCTGAAGGTGCTGGTGCGGGTGCTCTTCGGGAGTGCGCCTTGCGCCCTCCCTTCCCGGCGCCCCATGCGTCCCGCACAAGTGTCACCCAAAGGGCTGCGGCTGGCCTTCGGCATGGGGAGGAGGAGGAGGAGGAGGAGGAGGAGGAGGAGGAGGAGGAGGAGGAGGAGGAGGAGGAGGAGGAGGAGGAGGAGGAGGAGGAGAGGAGAGGAGAGGAGAGGAGAGGAGAGGAGAGGAGAGGAGAGGAACGCGGGGCGCTGTCTCTTCAAAACGAAGACCCAACACCACAGGATGGTTGGGAAAAATTACCCATATGCTCGAAAGACTGCCGCGCACGACCCCGCGAGAGCCTGACAGGCCCAAGCAAAACCCTACCCCGCCGCCCCCCCTCCCCATTCCAAAACAGAAAGAAAACTTCCCGAGACTCCAAAAGTCTCCTCCGAGGCGCCCCAGACGCACAACACGTCCGGTATTAGTGTGCTACGCGTGATGAGCGTTGCGAGTACTTTCTCTATCACTGGCACTTGGATTGACGATCGCGCGATTGCTAGCACACAGGAACCCAAGCAAGCGAAACTCAATGGGGTTCCCTGGAGCCCGTGGGATTCCCAGCGCCGACCCCTGGAGCACTCCGACGTCTGAATATCTTCGACTCGAATGCACCAAGCACAACGCGGCCCCGAAAGCGCGAACCAGTAAACGCGGCCGGAAGCCCCGAACAACCACTCAACGAAATAGACTACACCCTGGGCCGGCTCACACCAAGCCCTCCTTGGGGTCGGCGGCAGAGGCGGCAGCCTTAAGATAAAATGTCATGAAACGTTTCCATGTTTCACATTTCTATATCCCTTTTCTGGGTTCGTGGGTCGATCATGTTACGTGTCCAGGCCAACCAAGAGAAGTATCTAACATGGTGGCCCTGAGCTGGAGCCGCGTGTTTTCAAGTGTCCAGGCCAACCTTGGGGTATCTAACATGGTGCTCCTGTGCTGAAGCCACGTGTTCTTACTTGTCCTGGCCACCCGCACCCCAGGACGCCCCAGGAGGCCCGAGAAGAGTGAAAACACAAGGGTTCCTAACGCCCCAGGGCGGGACAAGCGTGAAACCACATGGGTTCCTAACGCCCCAGGGCGGGGGACGCGCGAAAACACATGGATTCCTAACGCCCCAAGGCGGGACACATGTGAAAACATGTGGGTTCCTAATGCCCCAGGGCGGGACAAGCGTGAAAACACATGGTTTCTAACGCCGGGCGGGACAAGCGCAAAAACACATGGTTCCTAACGCCCCAGGAGGCCCCAATACAGCCTTCGGCACGGTACATCAAGATCGACACACTCAGCATTGCAACCTGGCACGTTCGATGGCACGTTCCGTGGCGCGTCCCGTGGCGAGTCCCCCAGGCACGTTGTGCGGCGCGTCCCCTGGCACGTCCCGTGGAACGTTCATTGGCGCGTTCCGTAGCACGTCCCCTTGGCACGTCGCCTGGCGCGTCCCTTGGGACGTTCCGCGGCGAATCCCCCTGGCATATCCCCCTGTGACTTAGCTCTGCGGCAGCTACTATGTGCTCAGGCAGCTCGAGCTTTAAGATCCAGATCAGTTTGGTCAGGACTCGGATGCAAAGGAGGACTCGACCCACAAAGCTGTAGAGCACAATCGCGGCATGGCACATCGCAATTCAGCACGGCGCAGCACAGCACAGCCCTCAGCACGGTACATCAAGATCGATACACTCAGCATTGTAACCTGGCACGTTCCCTGGCACGTTCCGTGGCGCGTCCCGTGGCGAGTCCCCCTGGCACGTCGCGCGGCGCGTCCCCTGGCACGTCCTGTGGCACGTCAATTGACACGTTCCGTAGCGCGTCCCCTTGGCACGTCCCGCGGTGCGTCCCCATGTCACGTCCCCTGGCACGTCGCCTGGCGCGTCCCTTGGGACGTTCCGCGGAGAATCCCCCTGGCGTATCCCCCTGTGACTTAGCTCTGCCGCAGCTACTATGTGCTCAGGCAGGTCGAGCTTTAAGATCCAGATCAGTTCGGTAAGGACTCGGATGCAAAGGAGGACTCGATCCACAACGCTATAGAGCATAATCGCGGCATGGCACATCGCAATTCAGCACGGCGCAGTACAGCACAGCCCTCGGCACGGCACATCAAAGCCGATACACTCAGCTGTGCATTTGCCCGTCGCCCAATCAAATGTCTTTCAAAACGTTACCATGCCTTACATTTCTATATTAATTTCCGGGTTCGTGGGTCGATCATGTTTTGTTAATTCCGGGCCTCCCCATCCTCCTTATCCTCCAGATCCTCGTCGTCGTCGTCCTCCTCCTCCTTGTCAGCCCCTCTGGGCCTCGTTATGGAAGACCATCACGACGCTGGCGCTCGGAAGCGGGGCGGTGGTGTACTCATGGTGCAGCTCCTTGCACCTGGAAGAGCGCTTGTCGGGCTGGTGCCGATCTATACTCGTTGCATCGCTCGCCCTCGCGTTGTAACACTGGCCCCGAAGCTCGGAGGACGGCCAGTTCAGACGACGGCGGCTCTCCCGCCTGGCCCAACTTTGCTCAAAATCGTTTCCTGGACTCCTCCTGGGATCCATCCTGACCCGGTTCCCGAAGCGAATCCAGCCGTGGCGACGGGAAGTCTCCAGGAGGCCCCAAAAAGGACGAAGCACGCCAGGTAGGGCTGCCACTGTCTTGACAGGCCCTCCTCCGACATGCGCCAGGGACTTCTCGTCCTGCGAGAGGCCCCCCTGCGGCAGCGGCGTGGGAGGCACCCTCAGCTCGCCGTTCGGGAGCCTCGCTATGGCCGCTCCAACCGACCACGGGTCCGAGAAACCAAGCCTCGGCCAGAACCGGCCAGACAAAACCGAACCGCGGCCCGAGTCAGCCGAACCAGCCGACCAGCCGAACCGCCCGAGTGCGCACCGAACAGACCCGAGCCCGCCAGGACCGAGACCACGAGCCCAAACCCCCGTCGTCGTCGTGATCTGTTGTCAACGTGGACCCTCGGAAGGTCCGGGCTCCTGCACTAGACCGGGTCTGGCTCTTCGTCCCGAGGCGTTTTCGGAAGTTCAGGGCCCCCCAGAAGCCGAACACGGCTGAAGCCCTTCAGTCGTGATCCTTCCCACGACGCGAGGAGGTCTGGGAAGGAGCCTGCCCAGCAAGCCGCGCAGGTGCTCGCCGTCGACGCCCAGGGCGGGCCTCTCCGCTCGCGGCGGCGGCAGCCGTGCACCGAACCGACCCGAGCCGGCCAGGGGCCGAGGCCACGAGGGAGCCTGCCCAGCAAGCCGTGCAGGTGCTCCTGGTCGGCGCCCGGGAAGACGCTCCGCGTCTCGCGCGGCGGCAGCTCGCGGTCTCCCGGCCTCGGGCCCGGCCACGGAGCGTTGTCCTCGTAGTCGGCGTCGGGAATGACCGTGGGGCGCGGGCCCCGCCGCTGCCGCTGCTCCTCGCCGGGGGCTGCGCCCTGGCGGAGCAGGAGCCAAGAAGTGGATTCAACTGGGGTTCGAGCGAGCCAATCGCAAAGTCAATGCTTCAGCCGTGGCGATGGGAGGCCTGGGCATGAGCAGGCCCTTGGCACGTCGCCTGGCGCGTACCTTGGGACGTTCCGCGGCGCGTCCTCCTGGCAGGTTCCCCTGTCAATTAGCTCTGGGGCAGCAACTATGTGCTGAGGCAGCTCGAACTTAAGATCCAGATAAGTTCGGTCAGGACTCGGATGCAAAGGAGGACTCGATCCACAACGGTATAGAACACAATCGCGGCATGGCACATCGCAGTTCAGCACGGCGCTGCACAGCACAGCCCTCGGCACGGTACATCAATATCGATACACTCAGCATTGCGTTTACCCGTTGCCCAATCAAGTGTCTTTGAAACGTTGCCATGCCTTACACTTCTATATTCCCTTCCGGGTTCGTGAGTCGATCATGTTTCCCGGAAAGGGCGTCGGCCCAGGGTTTTCTTTTAGAGGCTTTCCCCGGGGACGACTTGAAGAGGGCCGGCGGAATTTTCTGCGATGATTAACGAGGTCGAAGAGGGCTGGCAGAATTATTCCCCATATCCTAAGATGGGGTTATTGTTATTGCTTGGACGCCTCCTACTCCTTCCTCTTCTTCTCCTCCTCTGCCTCCTCCTCCTCCTCCTCCTCCTCCTCCTCCTCCTCATACCTAGACTTACTCATACACAGACTTACTCATACACATAGTCACTCATACTCAGACCTGATCATATTAATTCACTCATGCTGAGACCTACTCATACTCAGAACTACTCATACTCAGACTTACTCATGCTGAGACTCACTCATACCCAGACTTACTCATACTGACCTTCTCATTGTCTGACTTATTCAACACAAAACAGATTGTGAGGATGTCTCAGGCGGGGCGCTGGTTTCAGCACCCCTAAGGGGAGCTGCCGAAGGGGTATTGCACGGTCCCGTTCGCGGCCGTTTTGTGGGGATGTCTCAAGCGGTTTGCCTGTTTTCTGTCTCAACCTATTTCGCTTGGATATTAGCAGATTGTGAGGATGTCTCAGGCGGGGCGCTGGTTTCAGCACCCTTAAAGGGGAGCTGCCGAAAGGGGTATTGCACGGTCCCGTTCGCGGCCGTTTTGCGGGGATGTCTCAAGCGGTTTGCCTGTTTTCTGTCTCAACATCATCCGGTTTCGGAGCAGATTGTGAGGATGTCTCAGGCGGGGCGCTGGTTTCAGCACCCAAGGCGCCGAATGGTATTGCACGGTCCCGTTCGCGGCCGTTTTATGGGGATGTCTCAGGCGGTTTGCTTGTTCCCCATATCCTAAGTATGGGGTTCCTGTTATTCCCCATATCCTAAGAATGGGGTTCTTGTTATTCCCCATATCTTAAGTATGGGGTTCTTGTTATTGGCGGACCGCGCCGGAAGAACAGTCAGTCAGTCAGAACACCTCACCTCGCCTCCCTCACTCAGACTCACTCAGACTCACTCAAACTCACTCATGACTCTGACTCACTCATCAGTCAAACTCACTCATCACTCGGACTCACTCATCATCACTCAGACTCACTCATCACTCAAAGTCACTCATCACTCAGACTCACGCAGCACTCAGACTCACTCAGACTCGTTCTGACTGATGACTGAGTGGGGTTCTTGTTCCCCATATCCTAAGACTCAGTCATCTCTCAGACTTACTCATCACTCAGACTCACTCAACAACCAGACTCACTCATCACTCAGACTCACTCACCACTCAGACTCCCTCATGCTCAGCTTTTCACTCAGAGTTAGTCATCACTTAGACGGCCCCGAGAATAACTCATCACTCAGACTCGGCCCGCTCATCAGATGACTCACACACACACACACACTGATGTTGAGGATGTCTCAGGCGATTCTGTGGCCTCAGCACTCCTAAAGGGGGCGGCGGGGGGTGGTTTCACGGGGTCCCGTTCGCGGATTTGTGTGGGGATGTCTCAGGCGGTTTTGGTTTTTCCCAACCATCCTGTGGTGTTGGGTCCTCGTTTTGAAGAGACGGTGCCCCGCGTTCCTCCTCCTCCCGCTGCCCCCTCCCCCCTCCTCCCATTATCATCACCATCCTCATCATGCTCATCATCATGAGTATCGTCATCATCATCATCCACATCGTGGTTGTCGGTCATCATCATCATCATCATCATCATTCATCATCATCATCATCATCATCATCATCATCATCATCATCATCATCATCATCATCATCATCATCATCATCATCATCATCATCATCATCATCATCATCATCATCATCATCATCATCATCATCATCATCATCATCATCATCATCATCATCATCTCATCATCATCATCAGTCATCATCATCATCATCATCATCATCTCATCATCATCATCATCATCATCATCATCATCATCATCATCATCATCATCATCATCATCATCATCATCATCATCATCATCATCATCATCATCAACATCATCATCATCATCATCATCATCATCATCATCATCATCGGCACACCCCTCACACGTTTCGCGGCCCCATAGGAGCCCCACCGAAGGCCCAAATGGCTGCGTCTGCATGCCGCCGCCGCCCAATTTTGGCACACCCCTCACACGTTTCGTGGCCCCATAGGGAGCTCCACCGAAGGCCCAAATGGATGCGTCCGCATGCCGCCGCCGCCCAATTTTGGCACACCCTTCACACGTTTCGTGGCCCCATAGGGAGCTCCATCTAAGGCCCAAGTGGCTGCGTCCGCATGCCGCCGCCGCCCAATTTTGGCACACCCCTCACACGTTTCGTGGCCCCATAGGGAGCTCCATCTAAGGCCCAAGTGGCTGCGTCCGCATGCCGCCGCTGTCCATTTTTGGCACACCCCTTACACGTTTCGTGGCCCCATGGGGAGCTCCACCGAAGGCCCAAATGGCTGCGTCCGCATGCCGCCGCCGCCCAATTTTGGCACACCCCTCACACGTTTCGTGGCCCCATAGGGAGCTCCATCTAAGGCCCAAATGGCTGCGTCCGCATGCCGCCGCCACCCCATATTTGGCACACCCCTTACACGTTTCGTGGCCCCATGGGGAGCTCCACCGAAGGCCCAAATGGCTGCGTCCGCATGCCGCCGCCGCCCAATTTTGGTACACCCCTCACACGTTTCGTGGCCCCATAGGGAGCTCCATCTAAGGCCCAAGTGGCTGCGTTCGCATGCCGCCGCCACCCCATGTTGGCACACCCCTCACACGTTGCGTGGCCCCACAGGGAGCTCAACCGAAAGCCCAAATGGCTGCGTTCGCATGCCGCCGCCACCCCATTTCGGCACACCCCTCACACGTTTCGCGGCCCCATAGGGAGCTCCACCGAAGGCCCCAGTGGCAGACCTCGCATGCCCCCCGCCACGACGACAGCCTCACGGGGGACCTCACGGGCCCGCTGGTGTTCATCGAGCCCCGCACGTCGGAGCCGTTCACCTTCCGCACCTCCAAGGTCACCCGGACGGGCTTCCCGTTTTCACACGGCAGGGTCATCACCACGGTGGCGTGCCAGGGGCGCACCACGCGGGAAGGCGGCGGGGCGGGGGAACGGCGCCACCGGGCAGTCTACGGCCGAACCCTTCGAACGCGAGCGGTCCGCAGCCGGACCTTCTCGGCCCCGTGGACTCTCGCCCTGGGCCGTCGGCTGTCTTGCGCGCCGCTCCCTCGACCGACGCCGCCCAGGCGTGATCCTGGACTGCGGCCGCCACGAGGTCGGGAACGGCAAGAAGGAGGACGACGACTGGTGGCTGGAGCTCTACGCGCTGCTCTCGCGCGCCACGCGCCACGAGGATCTCCTGCTCATGCGGGCGCCGCTCATCGAGTTCTTCCTGGCAGGGCCGCCGGAGGGCTTGCGGAAGCAGCTGGGGCAGTTTGCTGCGCGCGCGAAGCGGCGCAGGAGGGAGGCGACGGCCCTCGCCAGAGAGCTGGGCTTCAGCGAGTTCATCCGCGAGGCCTGACCTGGGGAGCGGCCCCGCACGAGCCAGCGGCGCGCGCTGGTTGTCGCTGACGCTTGGATGACCCCAGCTCGTCGTCGGGATTTCTCGCCAGAGGATGACCGGCGCCTGTCGGGGGATTTCACCCAGATCGCGCCATTTTCGCACGCCTCGCCACGCAGTACGGGGGCGCTATCCGTTGACTCAGAGTCGCAGTGGACAACCCCCGCGCGTCGATGGGATTCCCTCGGGATGACCAGACCGCGTCGGCGAGGACTTCCCAGGCACTTTCGCGCGGCGCCGCCTGCGCGCTGCATTCTGCGCGGCTCGCTGTCGGTCTGGAGGCAAAAACGTCTCCCCTCGTCTCTCGCCCCTCCTGCTTCTCATCGCTTCTTGACCGCGCGCTTCCCCGTCTCGTTTCTGCCGCTGCTGACCTGCCTTCGACATCTACACGGTGTCTCCGTCACCTCTTCCTGCGTGCCCAGTAACAGGTCTCATGATGCGATGATGATACTGATGTGTTGGCTCGCCCCAGTGAACTCTCCTCCTCCGCCCGCCACCTCCTGCCCGCGCTGCCCTGTGCCTCGTCCATGCAGTGGCGCGGTGCCTATGAGAAGAGGGGCCTAGTTTGCGTGCCCCCTCCTTCGTCTCATATCCGCGCGGCACTCGCAGCTGCATATGGTTGGGTCCTTCGCCAGGCTAATTTCTCCTTCAACATGTTTCGCTTTCGGAGCAGATTTGGAGGATGTCTCCGGCGATTCGCTGGCTTCAGCACTTAAGGGGGGTGGCGGGGGGTGGTTTCACGGGGTGCCGTTCGCGGAATTGTGTGGGGATGTCTCGGGCGGTTTGGCCATTTTCTCAGGGCGACGGCAACCTGGGACCGCTCTTGCGTTTGGGCCGATATGCCGATACGCCGATCCAAATTGCGCTGGTTTGAGCAAGCCGATATACCGATAAACCGAATTAGTATATCGGCGTTTGTAATCCGATATGCCAATATACCGATTCAGCATATCGGCACCACTGAGC